GGAAAAAAGGAAATAGAAAAGGAATGAAGCAATGCAAATTGAAGAAAGGAAATCCATTGGCATGTCTTAAAAAGCATTAACACTGTCAGCTAAAATAAGGTTGTAATTAGTATGGGATTTAGATTCCATACACGTAAGAAACGATACAACAACCTGCTAATTGGAGACAATACTATTCAAATGTTACTGAGGAACAAAGACTGGTACATAATTATGTGCAAGGAGCGGGAGGGTTACAAGAGATGTTTCAATCTAGTAGACAGAACCGCAGCTGAGAAAAAGCTAAAACAATAACCTTGAAAACAAGCATTAATAAGCTACTGTCACAGCAGAAGGAGAATAAAGAAGAACATGTTTGTTTACACAGTGAGCCAAATTTTGCCTACAAGCAGACCTACCTTTTACCAGAGAGTCATATACATATATGCATAGTATTTGTGTGTGTGTGTGTATATATATGTGAAAGTGAAATATAGCTTCAACAATAACTATAGAGAAGCAAGACTTTACACCCTAGGAATGCATATTACAAAAGGTCCTATAAAAATAACATCATAGTTTATAGCCTGTTTAGTAGTAATTTTGACAACAGGAGCTGGGAGAACGTACATGCGGTTGATTTTTTTTAAATTACAAATATACATTTTTAAAATTATGACTATAGAAAAAATGCTCAGATGGGGCTTCTGGTGCCTGTGCTGCCATTAATAATTGCTAGTTGTCCCTGAGAGACAGAAACAGCAAGTGCCCTCACCTAACAGTGATGTTGTAAAAAGAAATTCATTAATACTGTATTTGCGGAGCACTCTGATACCACAGTGAGAAGCAGCATGGAAAAGCCTATGAGGAAATTAATCATTCTGCATTCAGTGCAGGATCTGGCAGATGTGCAATAAAGAAAGCCTGGAGACATACATTAAATATGAAGATAAAAAAAAGATTCTAGCCATTACCAGCAGAAATAATATCCCCTGAATGAGCATCATCTGCCTTAGGCGTTAAATGTTTGATGCATTCTCATTCAATACAAGGGAAAAACTTCTGATTAATGTGGTAAGATTAGAGCAAGTACCAGCCAGGAATTCTATGCAAAATACAGAATCTGATAATGTAATTAAAGTCTATCATAAATATATGTTCTGGAGCTAGTATTTCCTCATTTCCGCATGCTTAATTTTGTAACTAAATAACACTCCCACAGTGCAGCAATTATTAGCAAATATACATTATCTCAGCACTTGGAGGCTCCTGTCACTGCAGCTCTAGGTGCATTATGTGTTAGCACAGTAAATCAATCTATGTTTCACACTGCAGCTGCTAGACTGCTTCTGTAATCAACCTACTCTACTATGGCTAGCTCAAGTGAGTCAGGATAGCAAAAACATGGCAAAAAGAGGCCTAACAACGGTGACAGATCTGCAGGTTCACAGCTAGCTCAGATGTCTGTACTAACATTGCAACTGTAAATTACTAATTTTACTCTACATCGGTTCAGTTCTGCTCTCCCGTCCATAGAAGTTACGCTTTATCTTACCCCATCAGCTCAAATCTGAAGTCAGATTTCAACTTTCTCCTCTGTTAATCACTAGGGATGGCTACTGGAGAAGAAGAATGTGTAAGGAGGACTCTAGGATGCACCCCTGGGTTGGTAAAGTTCTATCAAAGCTGCTTTCTACAGTACTTCAGAAATATGGGGAAGAGGCAAGGGAACTCCATACACGCCTGTCTAGAAAAATGAAAAATGGGCTAAATAATCTGGCTGGCAGAAGTAGTCTCAACATCTGTGCTGAGGTACAGCAGTGCTGTAACATATCATGGGTCCTAGTACGAAATAAAACCACTGCATGAGACAAGCTGGATGACCAAGTATAGTTCTTCAAGTCACCACATATAAACCCAGGCCACTGTGTTGAGACGAAGACTTTTACCTGGGCTACTTACGTCAGAAAAGGTACACTACCTGAAGATGTGAGGTAGATAACCATGGGCTGAGGAACTGCAGTATCCTTAAACGTTCCTGGGCAGTATATCAACAGGTACGTCCTGGGGCTGACACCCAAATTATCCCTTATCCTGACCCCAGGAACCAGCCCACACAGCATGGGGATGCAGCTCAGGGGTTCTGATCACCCAGTCTGCTGAAAAGAAAGACAAGGCTCTTCCACCTTCTCTGTGTGATAGCAACTGTCACTCACATTTGGTAGCGCAGCCCATTACCTGGAGACAGTCTGACTTGCGTACAGTCTGCCTTGGAAAGAAGAGGCTGGCCTAGGCTTACCTAGCAAGGTGAAGGCAGGCTCAGGAACACATGCCCGCACAGAGCCCCACAGGCTATGCACGAGCTTTCTCTCCATGCTCCTGCCCATGGCTCGGGCTCCGAGCATACTTGCTGCTTAGGAACAATCAGCTCAGTTTATTAGCTGGTGAACCACAGAGTAGTGCTCGGACCCTCCTCTGCCTCATTGAGACACACACCGCAAGTGGGAGTTTGGGTCTGTTCAACCAAATGTATACGGGTTCTCCATCTTGAGAAACTTCAAAACTTGGCTGAGCTATTGACGTATTTACTGCTTGCTTTCCCACAAGAGGAACATTTCTATTAAAAAAGGTGCATGGCATACTTTCTAAGACAAATCTGACCAGTTGCAGGCAAAAAAATTAGTTATCTTCATGAATATATGTGTCCAAATGATGATGCACAGTTCCCTTTCAAGGATCAGTTCTGACTGATTTTTGAAGATGCAGGTGACCAGTGCCTTACGAGCAGTAGTAGCAATGGTAGTAGGTAACAGTAATTATTTTCTCCAGCCGACATGGAAAAAGCTAATGTAGATACATTTCTCATTTACTGTGTTATTAATATTATTGAACTAATGGAAATTGGGGGAGTCTTTTTCTTTTTTTTTTTTAAGCTAGCCTACCACTTAGCTTCTATTTGACACAAGCAAGACATTCCATGAATCTGCTGTTCATACAAGATCTGCTCATTTCAACATAAAATTAAGACAAGTAAATCTGATTGAATATTAAAACTAACATCTCTTTTCAGGAATGCAGAACCAAATGAAGATTTACCTAGCTTTCGTGGAGATAAAAACCAAACAACAAACCTAAATGCAGGTGAAAGACTTGCAACAGAGCTGGCAATCACCACGTCATAATCAAGATATTCTAACAAAAATGTCAGAATTTGTAGAAATAAGCAAATCAAAACATGGAATTAGGGGGGGGAAAAAAAAACCAAACACCACCACTCATACTGAGAAAATCAAGAAATTATAATATTGTCTTTGAAACAGGCCAACATTACACATTGATATCTACAATTACAGGGTTCAAAGACAATGACAGCAAAACTCACAAGAATTACTATATAAAAGTGACTTTCTCCAATTCTTGGTAGCTCAGAGCACTCAAATATATCAATCATTTCATCTGAATACTCTAAAATTTCCTGTTTTGGAAATCTGAACAAGGCATAAGGGAAACTGAAGCTAGTAAAATTGTAAAAGTCTATGTTCTGTTTGTTCAAAAAGCTCACAGGTCTGATTAATTCTCACATAAAATCAAGGAAGTGTTAATGACAAACATCACTGCCTTTTCTAGCTAAAAATTTTTCTCATCTTTTTTTGAAAGAGGATAGTTTTTGATATTGGGTATTCTCAGTAAACAATAGCTAAAATATCTATTTGCCAGGTACATCAATAGAAATGTACAGGCCCTTCCTCTCATGTCCTCTGACTGGTGGGAACTTGAGACACTAGAATCACAGGGGAAAGAAACCATTTTTTCAGAGACGGTTCTACTGACATTGATATTAAAATACCTATTTCTTTTCAACACATCAGAAAAAGATAATTCCTTACTTCACAGCTGTCTGACAAAGCTGAGGTAATTCTTACTGGCTGTCAAAGGATCGCTATCACTTTTGGTTACGTAACGGAAATAATCAAAGCCCTGCAACAGGCAGTGTAGTGAAATGACAAGTCTCTGTAGTTATTACATTTAAATAACATGTCATTCCTGATCTAAAGATGATCTCTTTAAGGGACCAGGACTTCCATTAGTAATTTTCTTTTACTTTTCCAGTCAGGAGATTGCAAGGAATGTAAACAAATAAAGATTGATTTTTGATGGGAGAGGGTATTCTTTATTCTTTACCATAAACAGACATGTTAGGGTGCTGCTACACATGGCAACTGCTTTGTTTAATTAACTTTTTAGAATTCCCTTTGTGATCCATATAGTAATCTGTGTCAAAAATTATCACCATCAAAATATATAGGTTCTTTTTGCCCTTTGAAAAATTACCTTACCTTTAAAATCATACTTTTATCAGTTTATAGTTAGTGTATTACCACACACAGGAGAAGTGTGTGAGAGATTGTTGGAGCTCCTAAGAGATTCTACTTTCAGCATTTAAACTCTCTTTGCTATTTTTCCACACGTTTTACATAAAGCAAATTTAGTCATGTAGTGCCAGTGTGTAATCCCTTGTTGGACAGGGATTTTAAGCCTCAAAACAACAATTAGGAAAGCAGGCACCTAAGAAATTCATGTAGCACAGAAAACCTTGTCAGTTGACTAAATCTGACTGATGGTCTATTTTCCAGTGCTTCAGAATCATCAGTACCATAAACATGCTTTTTAAATTAATTTATTGTTCCACTCCTGAAAAGAGGAAACTACCTTGTCCCACGAGGTATGACAGCAGTCTCTCAGGTTACGTTGCCTACCATTAGCATGGCTATAATGAGTTTAAATAGCTATCTCATCACTGCATCACCTTTCTGACCACTTGCAAACTGCAAACATCTACTCCAACTACAGTAACAGATTTTTAGATTTTTGATAACTGAACCACAGAAAGCTGAAGGATTATAGGGTAACAGTACTAAATCAATAGAGTGCATTTTATACATCATCTGAGTCTGCATGTTAAGTAAAAGGAACATTACGTAGCAGTCAATGGCATAACAGCATAAAGAACTTGGTCTTACCCTTTGTTTTCAAGTCGTTTAATACCTTTGATTCCACGGGCAGTATATCACTCACTAGTTTTATCTCAATATTTCGGGATGCCAGTTCAAGCAATTTTTCAAAAAGACGCTGACCCTGAGAAGAACATTAAAGGAAAGCAGAAGATGTAAGACACAGAATTGTTCAAACAGCACATCAACAAATTAAAGACGCACATTAAAACAAAAAACATGTTGCACAACTGCTGGGTAAATCCGTTCCTAGATATGGTTAAATCTATGCTAATGGTGTAGCAAGTCAGTTTTTTCTTGGAGAAATACTGTTTTGAAGGCCAAACCTGCTTCTTCCCTTTCCCAGACTGTGCAATGCTGTTGATGACAGGTGACACGCAGAGCATGAACTGTCCAGGTTTTTTATGCTGCACAAGCATATTTTTACATTAACTTTCTTCTAAAGAATTAGTCTGTTAAATCAGGATAAAAAGTGCAAGGAAAAATGTTAATTACACTTATTCTGTATTGAATAATTTTTTTGTAACTGATTCTAACCATAGTACAATACATTTTTCAAGTGGTCACATGTTCGTCTTTAGATGAGCTATACCAGGAAGGAAAACAATAATGCTATTCCTTTTTACACTGCTGTAACTTTACTGTTTAAGCCCTATTTCTAACACAGAACAACAGCAAAAAAGAAATCTCATACAGAACTAGATATTTGTTAAAACATTTCTGTTTTATTTATTTATAAAGATATTTATTTCACACGAAGAATAAAATTTTAAAATCAAGGCATTTTTCCACATCCAAGAAACAAAGAAAAAGTAGATCTTCTGATTGTATAGTAAATGTTTAATTTTTAGATTCAATATTTTAACTTAAAGAAAAATGCTTAGTTAGAAGCATCTAAGTTCACGATGTCACGAATAAAATATCCAATGTGCCACTACTGTGCTGTGTTACTACAACTGCAGTTAGAGGTCGTTTCC